ATAAGGTACCTCCATAGTAGACAGCGGCTTGACCGCTACTGTAATGAGTCAAAGCACCAAAAAGATTGGTGTTGTAAGCTAGAGCAAGTGCAGCTAGAATGCCCGGAACACCTGCTGCTATATGCATAGCAAGGAAAGCTGAGAAGAGAGCTCCAACGTGACCGGTTTGGCTTGCGAAAAGATAGTGAATGAAGAAGTAAGCTGCTTGGAGAAGACCAAACGCAGCAGGCCAGCTCAAGGAGAGAGATTGGAGAACTTTGGCTACGCAATCAGACATCCATGTTACAACACCGAGGTTTGTGAGCTGTCCTGCCATGCCCACCAACACAGCAAACCAAGCTAATGTGTCCCATGCTGATTTTTCACTTAGGCAATCATCCCAATTGAGGACACCAAGAAGAAGAAGTATGGAGAGACCAATCATCGCAGCTACAACACTTGGTATTCCGAGAGTCTCGCTGCATGTAATTTAAACCCATAAAGTGTTTAGATTGAACCAACTCTATGATACAAATTAACATGAGAGCTATACAAGACTTACCCGCAGATCCAAAGAGTGACAGCAAGAAGCATTGTACCGACCATGATCCATTCGTTTTTAGTGACAGGGCCCATTTGCTTGAGCTTCGTTGCAGCAATCCCTGGAGCATCCGGTGTGTCCTTGGTTTCTGGAGGATAAAGCTTATAGAGGATAAGTGGAGTACAAAGAAGTGATATGATTGCGGGTAGACTAGCGGCCTTAAACCAAGAAACCCACGGGTTTGTGATCACTACTCCAAGCTCCTCGGCTAACTTGAGGCACAGCAAATTTTGAGCTGCAGCGGTCAAGAAAAGTGCACTAGAGTTGCCGGCGCACTGTTAAAAACCACAAAACAGAATTACAGAGAAGCAAGATCAAATAACCAAGACTCGTTCGGTTCAAAATTGTTTCAAAGACAAATGCTCAAGAACGCACATTCTCTCATGCCAGATACTAACAACAAGAACTACACTTCTGTCAAAGTCGAGCTCTAAGAAACTAGAAAGCACCAACTAGGGCATTAAAGGTCCTGCATTAATGGCAGAAAACTGCAGAAGATATGGCGCAAGACAAACATATAACATAAACTCAGTCCTAAGATTCAAACAATAGCTCTCTCTCTTCTTCTTCCTTTTCTCCATTCTAATCTATGAACATGTCGACACACATTGAGCCAAACTGCAAACTTAGTTTCTCACCATCACATTACAAACAAAGCATTGGAGCTAACCTGGAACTGCGATTGGATCAAGTAAGAACCTAATTTCCTCGAAGACGAATCTCCCGGTTTACTTCCCGCCGAGAGCGAAAGCGACTTGATGATCGGCAAGAAAATGCCACCGGCTCTAGCCGTGGTACTAGGCATTGCAGGAGCAATCAAAGCTTCACTAAGCGTAAGACCATAAGATAAACCTAAAGTACTCTTCCCAAGCCATTTCACAAAGTAAGTAGCGATTCTATCTCCGAGTCCTGTCTTGACAAATCCACGAGCGAAGAAGAAAGAGATAACGATGAGCCAGATAACCTCACTAGTGAAGGCCGAGAAAGCGGCGGAGAACGAAAGCGTTTTCGTGACAATCGACGCGGTGAGTCCGATGAAAGCCCAAGCTCCTACTGGGAGAGGACTAAGGACGAGACCAGCGATTGTAGAGAGGAAGATCGAGAGGAGTTGCCACCCTTGAGGAGTGACTCCTTCCGGTACAGAAACAGCGAATCGGAGGATTAGACCGACGGAGACGGAGAGAACAAGAGGAATTAGTTTCGCCCCTTGTATAGACGGAGATTCGGGAGGCGAAGGAGGAGGAGCGTCGTCTCGTGGCGCGGAGGCGATTCGTGTGGAGAATCGGGGAATTGGTTTGAGGAGAGGGAAATTGAGAGGTTGAACGGAGTGAGATCGGAGAGAAGGGGGAGAGATTGTTGAAGGCGGAGATCTCGATGAGATACGGCGGAGAAGAGAGAGGCGTGAGGGATGATGGTGATGGTAGAAGGAAGCGGAAGTGGCGGTGGTAGAGAGAGAATGAAGAGCGAAACTCTCCATCGCCGGCGATT